GACAATAGATTAAGTCACTAGTTTAACTGAAAAACTCTGTTAATGGAGATTGTAAAGTAAGGCAATCTCTATCTGAGATTTACCTGGAGATTATAAAAATTCCTTTGTTCAGACCTAATGCTTGGTGCCCCTACTGTAAAAAGGTAGGTTCAGAAACCAGCCTTTGCCACAGCCTTGCAGAAGCCATCTCTGGATGTGGTCTCAGCTAGCTGATAAGCTTTTTGTGCCCCATGAAAATTTTTTATTTTTTCCTGGATTCTGGTTTCTTGTATAAAGTTTGCTTCTTGTTTATTAGACTTTGGTGGTCTGTCCCCATCTTTGCACAACCCCCCTGAACCCAACAAGGACCACGTTGGTATGTGACACAAGAGCTGTGGCCACGTTGAAGGATGACGGATTAGCACGTGGCAGTATCCTAAACAAACTTGGAAGAACACGTCCCTTTTGTAGAAAATAAAAAACTACCTTGTGGTAACACAACACTATTGAACTTTCAAAGACAATTTTGTTGTTTATTTACACATTTTTTTCATTCCAGAATGTTATGAGGAACAATTTTCAAGACAGTTGATGTCCCTAATAAGACCACTAAGCGTATGAAATAAATTATGAGTGCCCGAGAAGCCGAAAGTATAAATTGTCAGATTGGTCTGGAAACATGCAAGCCCAACTGTGTTCTACAGAAAATATATTAAAGGTATGTACTCTAGCATATTCAATGTGATGATCTTCACAATAGTTAAGACTGAAGTGAACTTTAGAATTGAGGGAGCTGGGGACAAATAATATTGCCAGTGAAAATAAAGAGAGCAAGGGCATGGTAGGACATGGCTTTTAATCCCTGCACAGGAGATGCAAAACCAGGTGGATGTCTGTGAGATGAAGACCAACTAGGAGTTCAGCTAAGACTACATAGTGAAACCCTGCCTAAATATTAAAATAAACTCATACCACACTACTAATGGCATAGTTTCAAAGATGAAGGAGGGGAAAAACTTAGAGCATTATTAAGGAATGACAGCCAAATCTACCATCATATTCAAATGTTTTCAATTTCACTGATGAACAAGCCCAGAAAAAAACAGAGCATAGTCGAACTGAACATCATATCAACTGTGAATGTTGTCAGGATAAAAATGGAGACAGTTAAACATTAATGGAATCAGCTTAGCTTGAAGGGAGAGCTGTGATGTACACATACATATGGTAGATAAGAATCCTATACTCCAGAACCTGGAAA